GAATAATTCTTTATAAGCCTCTTTTACATGAGATAATACCATTTTGAAAATAGTTACTTTGGATGGGAAACATCTGTTCATATCTTTTCCCCATACTAAATGGTGAAGTCTCCAGTGACCTTGTCTTATTTCCCTTTTGCTCTTTTGGTGCCCAGAACTATGCTTCAGACACAGAATTCACATCCACTGTATGTTTACACAATAAATGTCAATATTATTAGTCAAGAAGGCAATAGTGTTCTCAGGGATCATCACATCTTACCCAGCCCTTAGGGACAGACAAGGGAGAAGGCCCTGTCTATCACTTAGTAAGCAGCAGCTGCCCAAAACTCACATCTAGTTCCAGGTTAATGAAGGACTGTGAAAGCAGATAAACACTCCCACAGACCATATGTCAGATTGTGCAAATCAGATCTGAAGCAACTTGCAAGTATTCTGTCCCTTTAACCCCAAATTTTGAGCAAAAAATCTTGCATAGTTTCAAAAGTATTTTATTCTGTTTATCAAAAATAAAAGCAAATTTAAAAATTATAGACTGTCATTGTACGGCCTTTCTTCCCTTTCTGATTTCTCTACAGTCTCTCCTTAGAATATAAGAAAAAAGAAAATACAGAGAGAGGCTTAAATGCTAAACAGTTAGGGAGGAAGAGCAGGAAGAAGGGGAAAGAAAAAAAAATGGAGAAGATACAGGAAGGGGCCTGGAGGGAAGAAACTAAGAGCATTCAGTAGTGCTAATCAGGGTAAACTGGATTCAGTTCTGTCTTATTCAAGATGTACCTGTGAGCTGGAACAATGCTATCAACCACCCAGGGATATGGTGGGAACTAATGAGATAACATGTGAACACACTCAGCAAGGCATCTTGCACATACTTTGTGACTGTTGAAGCTGAACATGTATTTATCATCCGTGTGAAGAAAAAAAAAATCCAGAAAACACCTTCCATGGGCATTGGCCAACAAGGAAAGCCCATGTGAAAGAATTCACACCAATTAGTCTTATTTGAGAAATTGCTGTCTCCTGTTTTGTTACTAGCAGTGTTAATGGTGTTTATTTCTATGCAGATGGAGTCAATTCCATGAACAATACAACATCCAGAAAAGCTTTGACACATAAAAAAAAAAATAGTTCAAGTTGTCTACTTATCCTTCTCCAACTCCCTCTGTAAATGTTTCAGTTACAGGTAGAAAAGTCAACTATAAAATGTATGCCCTGAAATGAAGACACAAATTTGGGTACTTCAGACAGAAGGCTGAGGTTCAAGCCAACTCATGAACTGCCTCCACATCGTCCCTCATTATACCACTAGTATTGTTTTACATTTTAGAGACTGTGATAGTCTAAAATACACACATACATATATATGTCTTTAATAACTCTTTGCAGTACTTGGAAAAAACACAGATGGTGATATTAACCCAATTTTAATATGTAAAAATATAGAAGTTACAACTGAGCAGCAATGAAATCCTCTCCAGGCCCTAGCTCTTTAAACTTGTGACCTAGTTCTTAAACCGCATTGCACTGCCTCCCCAGGCCACATTTATAAACATGAGATTCTTCCCCATCTTATTGATGTCCACATAACTGACCATGAAAACCACTTTAAGAAAATTATTGTCATTTATTCATAACTTTCAAGGGAAAATGTATTTCCAGAGCCTGTGGACACCAGGAACAGTATTTGAACTCATATTTTTTTTGCCATCAGACTTTCAAAATCCACAAAGGTGAAGCCACTACTTATCACAATGGCATGAAGGGTTTGGCAAACACCAACTCACTGAACTAGGGTAATTAATATTATTTTATGAGGTAACATAATTCTGAGAAAAAATGCATTAAAATCAATTCCCTATGTGCTCCTCAGATTTATAGCGTTAGCATGCCAGTACCAGCAGTGGGTTGGATAATCCATGGAATTATGTTAATATTTATGTCTTTTTGTTTTACTTTCAAAGTATCTTCAGTTTTCTTTTAAAAGATGAGCACTAGCCTTTTTATTTGCCTCATGGAACTTTATAAAACCCCACAAATATTATATGTATAAATTCCCATCGTAAAAGAAAAAAACAACATTGAATTCATAAAAAGTGAATGTCCTTTGTCACTCATACACACACGCACACACACAAACACACACACACACCCATGGGCAATAACATGAGCAGTTTGCATGTCCCAGTCTTTATGCATTTACAGAAGTGTGCATACAGATATTTATAAATAATGAGACATGTAATGATGTTACTGTCCTATGGGTTTATTTAATTTTTCTCAAAAATGTGTCTTGGAGATCCTTCAGAGGATGTATGTGAATGCACATACACGTGTGTGTACATACATACACTTAAAAGGTTTTTTAAATCATTGTATTCTATTCCATGGAATGATACGTGAAATAAATCATTCTATTACTGATGTGTTCTGGTTGTTTCTGGCTTTCAATGAATACATACATACAATACACAATATGCAGCAAAACACTTCTGTGTATGCACATATTCCCCTCATAGGAACATGCCTCTCCTAGAATACATTTCAAGAGATAAAATCAATGGAATCAAGAGAATCCCTTTATATTCTTCAGATGCACTTTAAATGATGGATTTTCTCAAATTGCCATTAATATTGTCAACAATTTATACTCAGGCATGTACACAAATAAAAATAAAACTGTTTACATCAACCTCACCAAAAGAGAATAAAATCAGTTTTTAAAAATTCTGCCCAATCTGCAAAACACATGAATAGACACTTCTCCAAAAAAGACATCCAGATGGCCAACCCACACATGAAAAGATGCTCAACATCACTCATCATCAGGGAAATACAAATCAAAACCACAATGAGATGCCACCTCACACCTGTCAGAGTGGCTAACATTAGCAACTCAGGCTACAACAGATGTTGGCGAGGATGCAGAGAAAGAGGATCTCTTTTGCACAGCTGGTGGGAATGCAAACTGGTGCAGCCACTCTGGAAAACAGTATGGAGGTTCCTCAAAAAATTAAAAATAGAACAACGCTATGACGGAACAACTGCATTACTAGGTGTTTATCTAAAGGATACAGGTATGCTCTTTCAAAGGGACATGTGCACCCCAATGTTCATAGCAGCACTATCAACAATAGCCAAAGGATGGAAAGAGTCCAAATGTCCATCGACAGATGAATGGATAAAGAAGATGTGGTATATATACAATGGAGTATTACTCGCCAATCAAAAAGAATGAAATCTTGCCATTTGCAACAACGTGGATGGAACTAGAGGGTATCATGCTAAGCAAAATTAGTCAAACACAGATATCATATGACTTCACTCATATGAGGACTTTGAAGATAGAAAACAGATGAACATAGGGGAAGAAAAGCAAAAATAATATAAAAACATGGCGGGGGACAAAACATAAGAGACTTAAATATGGAGAACAAATAGAGGGTTGCTGGAGGTGTTGTGGGAGGGGGGATGGGCTAAATGGGTAAGAGGCATTGAGGATCCTGAAATCATTGTAACGCTATATACTAACTACACTTGGATGTAAACTAAAAACATAAATTAAAAAAAAAAAAAACAAAACATTCTGCCCAATCTAGGACATGGTTATGGTCACTTAATCACTGTACATTACTTCTCTCTCTTCGTCAGCATGTCATTTCTGTAGAGGAGGACTGAGAATATGCTGTGTGTCCTTAAGCAAGCTACTTAACCTTCCTGTGTCTCAGTTTTGTCACCATTAAAATGGGCATAATTATAATACAGAACTGAAAGGATCATTTCCTGTTTTTCTGTACATTTTGCCTCCTTTTCAGTGTAATGTTGTCACTTTCCTCTTTGGTTAATTCAGTAAGGTAACACATATTTAATGAGCACCTACTATGTGCTGGGCATCATTCTAGTTACTGGAAACAGTGCAGGGAGGAAAAACCAAGTGGCTGCTCCCAGAGAGCTTACATCCCAATGGGGAGGCAGACAATACAGAAGCAAACACATAAATGTATAATGTTCCGTTATGTTGTATTAATAAGAAAAATAATAAAGTAGGGTGTGAGGTTAAGAAATATTAAGGGTGCTATTTTATTTTATTTTTAATGTTTATTTATTTTTGAGAGAGAGAGAGACAGAGCATGAGTTGGGAAGGAGCAGAGAGAGAGGGAGACAAAGCATCTGAAGGGTCCAGGCTCTGTGCTACAGAGGCTGACATGGGGCTCAACTCACAGACTGTGAGATTATGACCTGAGCCCAAGTCAGACACTTAACCATCTGAGTCACCCAGGCACCCCTAAGGGTGCTATTTTAGAAGTGGCCAAAGAAAGTATCTGTGATAAGGGGACCCTTGAGTAGAGACCTGAAGGAAATGAGCATCCAAGCTGAGGGGAAAGCAAGTGCAAAGCCTTGAGACCGGAAGCTGGTTGGCATGTCTGAGAAACAGTGAGGATTAATATGTTGGTGTAAAGGGAATGAAGGGAGAGAAAAGAGAGATGGTGGCTAAGAGGAGCCAGAAACCAGATCCTGAATGCTCTCACAAACCACCAGGAGAAACTTTAATTTTATTCTAGATGCAGATGGAAGCCAAGACACTGCATATGAATTGTTGAAATGCTACCACACAAAGGCTGAAACTTTCCACTTCCTATGCAAGTAGAGGCCTTGAGTATGACCACTGGAGTGGCTGCTTGACCTCTGAGCAAAGCACACAGGAGATAAAAACCCACATCAGCAATCAGAGTGTCCCTCACAAACGCAGGCCAAGAGGCAAAGCTAAACAGAGTCATGAAGCTGTGGAACCATGGCCCAGACCTAAATGCATTCAATCCAAAATGGACGCTTAAATCATTTTTCTTCTTCTCTGATGCACAGTGCCCTCGCCGGATGACAGACCAGGAACGGACCCCTGGCCACACTCAGCTACCAGAATGGTGACAAGAGTCTACCACATGAGGACCAGAAGCGCAGGCAGGGGAGCTGCTCATGGCTCACCTCTAAGGCAGCAAGCCTACCTCTGCAGATGGTCCCATTTCCCACGTAGCCCGGTTTGCAGGTGCAGCTGTGGCCCTGGACAGTGTTGGTGCAGATGGCATTCTTATCACAGTTGTGCTGCCCGCTGCCGCATTCATCATGCTCTGTTTACAGGGTGAGAGAGAAAGAAAGAAACATATTTCCTTAAGTTGGAATCACAGGTGTTGGGACACAGTAAGTTGGGACTTACCAGATAAGAACAACATGACTAGCAGCTTTGGGGCTCTTACTACATACCTGGAAGTTTCTATCCCCGATGTGGTTGAAATTTAACAGCTCTAAAACGTAGATGTCATTATCCTCACTTTGCAGGTAAAGAGACTAAGGGTCAAAGCATCTTACGTAAGTCACATGACTGGTGAGTACTGGTCTGAGTGCATTGCCTTCTCTATGCTCTGCAAACATTTCTACAGAGGCTCCAAGGAAGTATTTCTCAACAGGGGGCAATTTTGTATCCCATCCCCACTGGAAACATTTGATGACGTCAGACAATACCATCAGTTATCATGGTTTGAGTAGGGGTGTTACTAGAATCTAGTGGATACAGGATAGGGATGCCACTAAGCATCTTACAATGATGACACAAGAAAGCATGAGCCAATGCAAAACATCAACAGTGTCTGGGTTGGGAAACCTTCCTCTAAGTTTAAAAAAAGGAAAAAATAAACCCACAGGTGAGATTCCATGGTTCCTTTAGAACAAAGAGAATAAAACTGAAGAGGGAAGCTCAGCTGATATATCTTAGCAAAGAAGCATTGACTAACAAGGAATTTCAAAGGAATTTCACTGGTCACAGGAAATGTGGGCAAGCATGGAGTTGTGCCAAGTCCAATAAGGGATTTACTCTAAGGACCTCTCTTCAAGGGCCTTCAGCAAGGCCCTTAACTCTAGTTTTCCAGGTAATCCAAGTTCACAGGGTTCAGCATTCAAACCCTGGGTTGATTCCTAATGGGTAGTCACATGATTATATGTTTTCAAATAGGTACAGCATCCATAACCCACAAAACATGGAGGGAAATAGGTCTAACACTTTATAAACTGCACTAAAAGAATCTAAATTAGAAGTCAAGATTTCACAGACAGCGATACCTTTCTGTCATCAGCAGAAGTTTAAACAGTCATCTAAATGGCTACTGGGTAAATAAAGAGTATTGAAAGGTTAGGCTTCATTCCCTTTAACACCTGCTAGTATAACTTCTTAGAAATTTTCAGAAAATTCAGATAGATTTATTTCAGTTACAAAATGTTCTAAAACAAGAGTTGAAATCCCAGACAGAAACCCCAAAGAAATAACAATAATTGAAAAACACTAAAAAATTCAATATAGTTTGTAAAGTGTGCTGTTATATCAGTGTAGGAATCAATTGAAATATCCTTTCTTCATTATTTTTTACTCTACATTTCCTAACAGAGATCCAATAATAAGGAAGGTTAAAATCTACAAACTAGAGCTGTTATGGTCACCCAGATGCAATTAAAGTGTATACACACATATGACTTGACACCTTCAATTTTTCAAAACAAAATTTTTCTTTCAGCCATAATACTAACCCAAATGGTCAGTGAGAAGCGTGCACAGGTTACCATGTGGTAAGAAGAGAAAATTTATGAGGACTCACCTCTACTCTGTGCTAATGTCATTTCCAGCACACTCCAGAAATAGTATAACCTTGTGAATGTCCAATCAAATTTAAAGACCTATTAAACACCTAGTACATGCAGTTGCAACACCAGAGGATGTCGGGCACGCAAAGTCGAAGAATATAGACCTTGACACTGAAGTTTTCAATCCCTTATTTAAATTCATTTAATGATATCAGAGTCTGTACTGGGCATACAAAGGTGAGTAGGTGTGTCTCTGCTCCTACGAACATTTTAATAGGGGCCACCAGATGTCAATACGCAACTAAGTAGAACCCAAGGGAGAAGTGATAAGAGTTATAAGAAAGTGACTTTATATTTTACCTAGCAAACAGAACATATTTTAGAGTGAATGAGGGCTCTGTTAATAATTGGGCTAGAAAAACGGGCATTAACTCAGAATGACCTAGGCAAATTGGCACGTGCAGTCATGCTAGATAGGAAGAATACACTGAAATAAGAGTCCAGGGGAAGGGGCACCTGGGCGGCTCAGTCGGCTAAGCGTCCGACTTCGGCTCAGGTAATGATCTCATGGTTCGTGGGTTCGGGCCCAGAAACGGGCTCTGTGCTGACAGCTCGCTCAGAGCCTGGAGCCTTCTTCAGATTCTGTATCACCCTCTCTCTTTGATTCTCCCCTGTTCACGCTGTCATTCTCTCTCTCTCTCTCTCTCTCTCTCTCTCTCTCAGAAATAAATATTAAAAAAATTATTAAAAAAAAAGAATCCAGTGGAGAAAAGCAATTTCAGCTCATAGGGAAAAATGTCTTCTTGCAAAAGGTAATATTTGAACTGGCCTTTTAAAAATGGTCATAGTTTTCTCAGTCAGAATTTCCCATGAAGTGTACTACAGGCAAAATAAAGGTATGGTTTTATGAAACATCTGGTCCATCCTTACCTACCTGGTCCTTTCCCCCACCCCAAACTTTGTTGAAGTATAGTCAACAAAACTGTAAGTTATTTAGAGTGTACAACATGATGGTGTGTTTCATGTGTACATTGTGAAAGGATTTCCTTTATCAAAGTAATTAACATATCCATCCTACCTGGTCTTCTCTCCCAATATTCCTCAAGCAAACCCTCTTCTCTGATAAGATGGCCCACCATGGTCCTACAAATGTAGGAGTTCATTTCTACCCCTCTCCAGTTTGTCATTTTGTGTCCATGACTTAAAATAGAGTCTCCCAATGTAGTTGGAATACCTGTGCCCCCACCTGGCTTCAAACACCATTTCATGCACATACTTTTGCCAGGAAAGCCTTCCATACCTGCTCTCCATACTTTCACCCACTTTGGAATTTTTACCAAATTTGGCATCCTTACCTCTGTGGAGGCAACTATATCACAATGCACGGTGATATTTGTGAGTTTTATTATTACTGCCTTCTTAACTCACTTTGAAGAGAGGAATTGTAGCATGTTTTACATAACCCTCACTTTGCCCATCATTACTTCCCATAATGGTACTGAACCTAGAAAGTGCCAAGCATTGAGCCAAAAATTGCATATATAACATTTAATTCTCCTAACAATCACATGGAATGAGTTTGCTCATTTTATAATAAAGGAGATTAAAAAAAAGAAAAAAGAAAAAAATGGCGCCTGGGTGGCTCAGTTGGTTAAGCTGCTGACTTCAGCTCAAGTAATGATCTCACGGATCGTGGGTTTGAGCCCCATGTCAGGCTCTGTGCTGACAGCTCAGAGCCTAGAGCCTGCTTTGGATTCTGTGTCTCATTCTCTCTCTGCCCCTCCCCCACTTGTGCCCTGTCTCTCTCTCTCTCAAAAATAAATAAATGTAAAAAAAAATTAAAAAAACAAAAAAACCTTCAAGAATCTGCACAAGATCACAAAACCAGTAAGTGAGGGAGCTTGGGTTTGTGACGCTAGACGCCAGGGTGACCACATCACTGAGCAGCTAGAAGCAATCTGGATGTGGTTGAAGTGAAACCAAGACATACGGAAGTGATTCCACAGAGCCAGAAAGGAAGATGGTCTTTTTCTATACACTAGCACCAAATTCCCACTGAAGATCTGACCTATGATGGACAGCAATAATCATACATGAAATGGTCTCCTTCCAAAAACATCAAGTTCCCTTCCAGCTGTTGGAGATGCTGCAAGAGGCAGAGGAAAAGTGCTCTGAGAGAGGGCACAAGGCAGTAGAGAGCTCAGACTCCAGAACCACGCAGCCTGGGTGAGACAACCCTGGGTGTGCCCTTATTAGGTTCCTAATATGGAAAACGTAAATAATAATAGAACCTATCTTCTGAGGTTGTTGTGAAGATTACATTAACTAATATCAGTAAAATGTTTAGAGCGCATGGGAACTAGTACGTACTTCATAAATGTAAGCTATTTTTATTGCCATTATTATTACTGTTACTATGACCACTACTACTGTGATTATCTGTGAGCAGACTTTTATTGGTAGATGGTAGTTAAAAGTGGTTAAGAAAATGTTCTCTTTATTTTATGGTTCAGGCAGAAAAGCTATGAACAGATCAGCTTTTGAAGGCAATTAAATTAGAATATCTCATTGAATACCCAAGGAAGTATTTGCTTAGATCAACTGTCCCCAAGAAACAAGACTATAAATTGGAAAGGTGAAAGATGTATGTTTGGAATTGTTGATGTCTGACCAGAGTCTGGTTATAGTATAATTGGAGTATCCAACCTCTCAAGACAAAGGATGATGATTATGGCAGCATGCTGTTTCTCCACTAATGATGATAATTATTGTTATGTTGGCTAATATTTGTTGAGCACTGATGAAGCACTGTCATTATCATATAGGTCCTTTATCTTCCTTTTATCTTCCTTTTCCTTCCACAGAATGGCTCAGAAAGACTCTAACCCACCTCTGTAATAATGCAATCAAATGGAATCAATAGCCATTATCAATTAACACCATGTTTTTCCTTAGTGGACTAGTCAGGAGCCAGACAAGTTACTGCAACAGTCGCTTTAGCTGCAAATACTCCATATTTGGAGTCTGGTGGGCTTGTAGCTTTACTTTGTCCAGAGTCATCTCTCATGGATTTTACAAAATTGTTACAATGACCTCACCAGTCATCAGTCACATTTTATAAAGAAATTGGGGTTTGAAGCACCTATGTGGTGTCAGTACATACAATACGCTGTACATGCAGTACAGACAATAACTTGTATGTCTGGAACTCAAATTCCCACCTATCCATTCATCTCTTCTGTATTCTTTCCAAAACTCCACTGTACTGTATGATCGAAAAGAATTTCTAAAGTGTTGGGCCACAGTGAGGTTAACTTTTTACTTTTTAAAAGAAGATAATCAAAGACAGGAAGTTGCAGAAGTAATACAAAGAGTCCCGTGACACTTCCCCCGGCTTCCCTCAATGGTGCCATCTTATATAGCTGTATTACAACATGTAAACCAGAAAACTGACATTGGCTTACTACTGTTAGCTAGTCTACAAACCTTATTCAGTTTACACCTTTTAAAAAGAATCTGTATCCTTTTGCAGGTATATAGGTGTATGTAAGTGTAGGATTCTAAGCAATATTATCCTATGTAGAAGTTCAGGTCCTCACCACCATATTCATGCTATTGCTTTTTGTTTACACCTACTCAACAGTCCTCCGAACCCACCCACCCCCAGTCCCTGTTCCTTATTGGCAATTAACATGTTCTCATCTCTACAGTTTTGTCATTTAGTGAATTCTGTATAAACAGAATTATATGTACAGTAAGTAAATTTTGAGATTAACTTTTTTCACTAGATGAAATGCCCTTGAATTCCATAGGTTATTGTAGGTGTCCACAGAACAATTTACTTTGTTGTTGAGAAATTCCATTGCATAAATCCGTCAAAGTTTGTTCAACATACTTTGAAGGACACTTGGATCGTCTCCTGTATTTTGCCATTATCAATGATGTTTCTATAAACAGCTGTGTAAAGGTTTCTGTGTGAATAGACACTTTCATTACTCTGGTTTAATATGCAAAACTGTGAATGCAGGGTCATATGATACATGCATGCTTCATTTTGTAATGCCCTGTCAAACAATTTTCTGTAATAACTGTACTGTTTTACATTCCCATCAGCTATATGTAAGTCATCAAGTTTCTCCACATCGCTGTCAGCATTTGGTATTGCCACTTTAAAAATTTTAGCCTTTCTGATAGGTGTGTAAGTGATACTGCATTGTGCTTTGCATTTTGCCAGTGGCTAATGGTGTTGAACATCTTTATATAAGCTCATTTTCCATCTAAAGCTTGTCTTTGGTGAATTATCTGCTCCGGTCTTTTACCCATTTATACTTAGATTTTTATTTTACTGTTAAGTTTCGAGAATTCTTCATATGTTCTAAGTATTATGGCCTTTATTAAGTGGTTTGTCAATATCTTTTCACAGTCTATACCTTGTATTTTCATCCTCGTATCATTATTTCACATGCAAAAGGTTTAATTTTTTATGAAATTCAATTTATTTTTTATTTTATGGACAGTGCTTTTAATGTCATGTCTAATAACTCTTTATCTAACCTGAGGTCTCAACAAATTTTCAATTTTTTTAAACAGCTTTCATTCTACATTTTAAGACCATTATCCACTGTGAGCTAATTTTTGTATATGGTATACAGTTTTAATTGTTTTGTTTTGTGTATGTTTGTCCAATTGCTACAGTGCCAAAGTTGAAAAAGCTACTTTTCCTCCATTAAATTGCTTTTGTACCTTTGTCAAAAACCAATTGGTTATATTTGCGTTGGCCAATTTCTGGGTTCTCTACTCCATTCCAATGATCTATGTGTCTATTCCTCTGCATATACCACACTGCCTTGATTACTGTAGGTATATAGAAAGGTATATAGAAAGACTTAATGTCAGATATAGTGATTTCCCCCACTTTATTCTTCTTTGGGAAAAATTGTTTTGGTTATTCTAATTTCTTTTTCTACATAAATTTTATTTAAAAATTTTTTAATGTTTATTTGATTTTGAGAGACAGAGGGAGAGGGCAAAGGTGAGGAAGGGGCAGGTGTAGGGGCAGAGAGAGTGAGAGACACACAATCTGAAACAGGCTCCAGCTCTGAGCTGTCAGCACAGAGCTTGACGTGGGACTCAAACCTTAGAGTTGTGAGATCATGACCTAAGCCAAAGTCAGAAAGGATAACCGACTAACCCACCCAGGTGCCCTTACACAAATTTTAAATTAAACTTGTTCATTTCTATAAAATTCTTGTTGGGATTTTAAATGGGATTGTGTTAAACATACAGATCCATTTGTGGAGAATTGACTATGAACATAGTATGTCTACCTATTTACTTATTCTTTGATTTCTTTCATAAGTATACTTTCAGTATACAGACCTATACATGTTTTGTTAGATTTATTTTGTTAGGTATTTCATTTTACTTCAGAGCAATTGTATATAATAGTAATTTTTTTCTTAAAATTTGGTCTCTACATGTTGGTTGCTAGTATACAAAGTGTAACTGATTTTTGTATGTTGATCTCAGAGCTTGTGACCTTGCAGAACTCACCTCTTAGTTCTATAATTTTTATTTTTTTTGGAGATTCTTCAGGATTTCCTACCTAGACAATCATATCATCTGTAAACAGAAATCGTTTCATTTCTTTCTGATATCTATGCTTTTTACTTCCTTTTGTTGCCTTATTGTGCTAAGACTTCCAGTGCTATGTTGCACACGAGTGAGGAGAGTGGACATCACTGGTTTATTATTAATCTAAGAGAGAAAGTGTTCAGTCTCTCATTATTAAATATAATATTAGCTCTGCCTCATATACTCTGTCAATGCTGGATGGAAGTTCAGCTCCCTGGTGAGCTCCACTGACAATGAAGTTGGGAAAGAGCAGTGCCTATTAGCCTGCTTTGCACTGTGGTAGTGGAGGCCCAGGTCCATGCCGAACCCCACTGACATTACTACAGGGAGAGAATCAGCAGGTTCTCTCTGCCAAGCAGGTTTCCCATTGACAGATGGAGAAAGTAGAACTGGTATTTTCAAAAAAGCTTTTCTGTTCTGTTAAGCCCCCTTTTTCCCTAGAAGTGGAGTGGACTTTTCTTAGAACTTTTTTTTTTTTAATGTTTTATTATTTATTTCTAGGAGA